CTCTTACTACTACTTTTACTACTACTTTTACTACTACTTTTACTACTACTACTACTACTACTACTACTAGTACTACTACTGCTACAAGCCCCCCCCCCTTCCCGGAGAAGGAACCCCCCCCCGTTCCATACTCCTGGAGAACGAACCCCCCCACCCCGTGAACGGCGCTGCCTGATTTTTTGATAATACTGAAAACCATCCGGTACCCGGTACTGTAGCTCCGAACACTCAAAGACGTTACCATTTGGAAGCTTAATTAACCCAGCTATGCAACCCAACAGTAGCAGCAGCAACCCAACACGATGGGAGACAAACTGGGAGACAAGGTTCCGGAACCCTGCGCATACACGGGCAAACCAGGCGAAGTCTCCGACCGCCTCCCTGCCTCTAGAGATTGAAACGCAACAGTCACTGCTGTTGGGAATTTCGGGCAGGGCAACACAGAACCCTTGGGAATTTCATGGAATTTCTCCAATCGAACATGTCAACCTCTCCTGGCGATTCCCCCACCCACCAAAACCATCCAAACCCACTGACCCAAAACCTTGGCTTCAGAGCCGCACCGATCAACTCCACACAGAACCCGTTCGAGCCCCTGGAAGCTGAACTTCCGGAGTCGCACAGGATCGCAGAGCAAGCTTAAGACGTAGAGATTCCCATAGACTTGTGTGATGTTTCTAACGGAATTAACACTAATCCGGTGCCAAGTCTCCATTTCAACCTCTACCTGGACCACCAATGCACTCTGGAGGACTCTCTCTGCTCCAGACACCGCCATGAGCTCGGCTCCTTGAATATCAATCTTCAAAAAATCGATGGGTTCCAAACCAATATCGTCCAAACGCACAGTGCTCACATTTCGCAAGCTGAATAATCTTGCGACCATTTGGGCCCACAGATGCCGGTTTGGCTGATACAGTGAAGAGATGTAGGGATTTTCAGGGAAGTAGAAGAAACGATGCTTGGCCCCATCCGCAATCAATCGTCCGATGCAATGGAAGCGTCCTCCACATCTGGCGTGGGTAGCCGAAGCGGCAGCTGCATTTGTCCGTTCACATCCCTCTGGGCTGTCGAGTCCAAAAACCTCTGCACCTTGATGAAGCAAATATCTTAGCCCGTCATCCTCACGGTATCCATCCTCTCTGGCACCCAGAGTCGCAACTCGCAATCCGCGTACCATCTCCCCGGAAACCCCTTCCCTTTCGAAAAACTTCAGAATCGGGAATCTTGCCTTCGTGACCGACCTGCAAGTTGGTGTGGCGGTCAGGTTGCAACAAAGAGAGATGGATTTGATGTCACGGGATTCAAAAGGTGGGAAGACGTCGGCCGGGTACTCGCTGTAAGATGAGTTGAGGAGAGTGTGGAAAGTGAACCAGTGTGTCAACCCCAGGGCAGTCTTTGAAGGCTCCCCGCTCCACTCTGACTTTCCTTCATGCAAACAAGAAAGCGGCAGGCACATGCCAAAGCGCCCGATCTTTGGTCGCTTTTCTACCAGCTTCAGAACACCCAGGCGTCTATGCCAACGAGGCACTGCAGCTCGGGCGGCATAGGCGGCCAGTCGCAAAACCACAATCCAATAGATATGTCGCCCTTTTGTTGCAGCATCTTTGCAACGCTTGGCATGAGCCGTAAAAACGTCTATCTCCTCTTCATCTGCAAGAGACTCGGCTTGCAGCAAAGGGATATGTCTCAGGCTGCTGAGACAACGAGGGTCATCTTGTAAAATTTCGTCAAGGGAAGCCAGGCTTGCCTGGTTGCTCCACGAAATGGTTCCTACTCTGCAACATGCGAGACACACGACAGTCAGCCGAAACATGGCGAGCATTCAAGAAACTGCCACGGCTGGACATCAGGCATTTTACCTCTGATGTAAGCTTCTGATCATTCGAAGTGGCTGCTGGATATCGAGTGCATAACCAGAGTGCATCCCAACGAAAATGGCATGGCTTCACAAAGTTTCATCCTGTCGCCTGTGTTTCAGCATTCTGCATTCTGCAAGCCAGAAAAGACATTGTGTGCTTGGCAGCTCATTCATCCCCCAGACCAGGTCCCCACACAAATCCAGCGTCCCAACCAGGTCTGAAGTCTTCCTCAAAGCTGGGCACCTCGTTGTCAGGAGCGTAACCCTGGGGTCACGTGGGCGCAGGAAACATGGGCCTGGATTTGTTGGGGGTGAAAGAAACATCATCCATCTGTTTTGACTGCAGGATTGAAACACGCTGTAAATGGAGTTTTGTGAGCACCACGGCATCAAAACCCAACAAATACATGTTGGGCATTCGTTCAATATGCGGGTTTTGCATATTTTTGCATGCAAAACATGTGGTACTCTAGATACATTGACTTCAAAGTCAGGTTCGTATGAGCCTTGCAGGTGGCCTGTAGGAACCGGTCATTTAAAGCCTGCGCAGTGGTTTGCTAGTGGTTTCCGACAGTCCCCTTTTGGTCTTTTTGAAGTCCACGTTCAACACATCCCAGGAGCCTACACGTTCAATGGCGGTGAAACATAGTTGGATCATCTTGTATCTTGCTGTCCGCAACTTAGGCCCATTAGCTTCTCGCCCGACTCTTGAGCTCGTTCCGCAGGCTGAGCTGCCGACCGACTGCGGCAGGGCACTGCCTGAAGCGAGGCAGCTGATCGATGCCGAAGGACAGAAACCAGCAAGATGAGGTATAGCCATTAAACATCTAAAGCCGCCCTTGGCGGTGCTGGCGTGCTTGTTGGGACGCAAGCCAAGAAAAATGCAGCCAAGTTAGCTAGGGCCTTTTATTTAGATTCCCACCAAATTGTTTTGGGGCTCGGTCGTTTTCTGTTTAAGCAATGTTTTGCCGAGAAGTTGAGACTTGGAACTGTTGACTGTTGCAGACGACTCTTGCATCGACTGTTTGGCCACAGCGTCTGACCTCGTGTGTCATTCTAGTCTGCAAAAAATAATCTGCTTGGACTCTAAGACGTGTGAAACTAGCGCCAAACATCACAATTCGACTAGTTTCGTCAGGTAGAATCAGGGTCTCGTTCATAGCTCAAGGCGCTACCAAAACTCAAATAAGACAATAAAACTCTTTGAAACTAGATACGCTTGGGATGTTAATGCTGAAATTATTTTACTTCAAAATATGTTTCTTGATGAGGACAGAATAGAACAAAAGGTAAGAATGAAAGACAAAGACAAATACAAAAGCATTTTGTTATGGTTGATCGTTGGATTATTTGGTTCAATCTTGGACTGCATAAAATCAACAAAAACAAGTAGTGGAAAGTATAACCCTAAAATTATGTGCTATGATTGGGAAGCAGAATATTCACAATCTACGAACAACAATTCGTCAAGATTAATCAAAAATCATTTAAACTTATTACAAGTAATTGAAAGTAATTCGTGACATTTACACTTTCTACTTGTGCCTTCTAATTTGTAATACTTATTATTCATCATATCTCTTCCAACCATTATAACTTTATATTTGTTGTCGCTCCATTGGAAGCGAGTTTCTTTTCTTGTTACATAATTACCTTTACCTTTATCAAATATCCTAACATAATCACCTTCAGTAATATTACGGTAACGACGATTATTCTTTTCTTTCATTGTTTGATTTGACCTGACTTTGATTGCGTTATCTAGTTTATGAGCTTCATTCGGACTTGAGCCAGTGCTTGAATGTGTTTGATTATTGTATTTAGCTAATGATGGACGCAAGACCTCTACCCATGCTTTTTGGGGATAATGTCTCAATCTGTCACCTATCATTTTTTTAATTGTTCTCACCATTCTCTCAGCTTGATTTGCGTGAGTTCTTGTTATAATATGTTCTATGCCTTCGCCTTTGAAGAAGTCTTGCATCTTTTTAGAGTTCAATGCTCCTTCGTCATCGGTATAAATTGAAAGAGGTTGTCCTAATCCTTTAAAACACTCCATAACTCCTTTAAAAACATCATCTGTGTCCTTAATTTCAATAGGAACAATATGACATTTTTTACTGAAGATATCAATACACAATTCTTGTCACAAGAAACCATATCTTAATTGGTTGTAAATTTCATTTCCAACATCCTTTAATAAACTTCTGACATCCATTAAATCAATTCGAAACTCATATTTTGGGAATTGTGCTGTGTATGAATTGTAGTTTTTGTAATTTCTGGTTTGTGTATTAGGTTGAGCTCTCAACCACTTAGAAACACAGTCTAACGTAATTCCTGCATCAACTTTTTTTGATTTTTCATACAAACCCCTTGCTGAGCCAAAACCTTCTTCTACATCATAATCGATTTCCTCCAGTATTTTAGTTTTATCTTGCTTACTCATTAATTGGATTAATTGATAAAATATTTTTTGAAGATAGTATATTGATTAAATTAGATGTTTCTGGCACTTCTTGCTCTTTCTATGTTTAGCAAGATTTGACTTGCAACTCAACTCTGTTCCGCAATATTGCAAACACATCTAGTTGTTGTTTTATTTTGATAACATGTTTTGAAATATTTTCATCGCAAGGCTTCTTGAATACCGTTAGATTGTCTCCTCCAGTTTGGTTTCTCTAAAATTGGTTCTTCATCAGTTTTTGTAACATTTTCGCTATCAATGCTATCCCATAAAAAGTTAAAAACGTCTTCATGTTTAATTCCTTGACCTACAAAGTATGTTGGCATCTTATATTATATATGAGAATATTACTTTAAGTATATTTTGTATATTTTTATACTTTATATCAATACTAAACCTTTTTCAATATCCTTAATTGATGCTGTTATTGTTGGCTTGTTCCAGAGAAGATTTTTGCTCCACACGCCGGCTGTTGTTAAATCCCTCCAGTTTTGATTTGTTCCACTATGTCTTGAAATATAAGTTTTCTTTCTGTCATCGTCCTTGTGTTGGGTGTAATCTTGATAAGAGGCACTACTAAAAGAAACTTTTTTAACTTCCACTATTGCATCGTATTTCTTTTTTGGACTGGTTGATTTCTGTAGGATTACTTGTCTCATTAATATAACTTATATTTTTTTTAGGATACCCACCATCATCTGCCTCAGCACAAATTGCATGTGAGATTTTCCAGAAACAATGAAGTCTCAGACTACAGGGCCAACGCTGTGGGTAAATGTGGGTATTGGTTTGTAGGACCGCGCGGCGTGCGCAGCCGGCACCTGCAGCCGTTCCGTGGCTTCGTGTTATCAATGCACCGCACCACACATGTTTGGACCCAAGTCGGAACTCTTGAATTACGCTCCGCCACGGTCCCATGCTTACCGCGGGCTGCTTGGGGAAGATATCTTCCTCTCGCCCCGTTTCTAATTTTGGGCGTCGAACCACTCGAAGTCACCACACGCAGAACTCCACTGAAGTCCCCAAGGCCTTCCTCGTCCGTCAGGAGGCCGGGGAGCCTGCAGACAGTGGCTGTGATTCCTGGAATGCCTTGTGCCTAAGGGAACACAACTCGGCAGCTCTGCAGCCATAAGTCCGGCGAAAATCCTGTCTTTCGAGTCTCAGCGACTGGACTTGCAGTAATTGCAGTCACGTCACGCCGAGATCCAAAAGTCCTGCTAAAGCACGGTCCACTTACCCTGAATTTTGGGCATCTCTTGCCTTTGAGAGAGAAATGCAAAGACAAGCTGCACTCTGCAATGAATGCCAACGCAACTTCGCAGCTGAAAGATGCGGTGCCGCAGGGTACCGCAGCTGGGGCAGCAATATGATGCTTACTTGGAAGCAAAGACGGGAGAGTCCTTGGCCTTCTCGCGAGCTGCTTGATTCCAAGCAGACCTCGCGCCACCCGCCACTCAAAGAAAACCATCCGACAGGTAGCAGGAGGACAAGGATGCATAGTCTTGTTGAGATCCCACTAACAGTAACACCTGCTCACGACGCAAAAGGCCTTACCCCAAGAAACGGAGTTCACTGTACATGCTGAAGCCTCAGCACTGGAGGCAAAGCCTCAGGAAGCCACGTTCTTCGAAGGCCAAGACCCGGACATGTGTCGCGAGATTTCGGCAAAGTCCAGCGATTTGGCCTCGGGTGCAGGGACATATTTTAGCACATTACGGCATCGAGGCACACAAAACTACAAAGCAACATTCCGGAGCCCTGCGACACCTGGGATGGCGAATGAACTTTTGTTCTTCAACCGTCATCTGAAGCCATTCTAGAAGTAGAAAGGTTTACGCATCCCCGGGCCACCCGGGCCTTGTGCAGCAAGTCGGGAACTCCACGAAATTGCTGAACCTCAAATCTCTCAGGATATCAAGATGCATGAAAGCTTGTGCGGAGCTGGCACGAAAGGAAGGCCAAGCCAGTCGTGTGATTGGGCATCCAAAGTCAATATGCAACACAACGGAAGTCACAACACGCTGACATGACTGCTCTTGAGATCCATCTTGCTGAGGCCTTTTCGAAGTTCGCGAGTGTGCTGGAACTCGTGCAGTTCACAGTTTATCGTTGCACGCAAGGATTGTGACGAACCAACAAGTTCGCCTTAAGAAATTTGAAGCGGTCTTAAGAAAGTCCTTTAGAAAAGCTTCTTAGCTTTTCAGGCACGTCCAAGCTCGGGTTAAAAAGACCAAGCAGGGACTCACGCGCTTCCAAGCTGAGACTCAATCGTGGAGTAGTCACACAGGTAGTTCTGAAACTCCTCGAAGCTCACGTGGCCATCGGAATTCGCATCAATGGCCGCTCGGCACAGGTCAAAGAGCTCGTTGGAAAGATCGCGGTGACCACAATGCCTTTCAAGCAAGTCCTCCAGGAACAGCCGAAGTTCGTGCAAGTCCAAATAGTTGCTGTCATCCCGATCGTAGCGACGCCACAACTCCTTGCAGTCTTCGTCCGTCAGACTCTTGAGCCTGAGCTGTGGGCGGAATCCTACCTCACCGGGATCAGTCCGAAATTATACGTTGCTGCTCTCAGAGAGGAAGTGAACAAATGCGCGAAGTGCGGTCAAAGGGCTTGTACTGACTCAGGAACTGCTCACTACTGAGAGACCTGGCAGCGACACTGAGGTAGGCGGTGGATTGCATCTCCGTCAGTCGGCTAACCTGGGAGTCTGAGGCAACAGTTCAGCAGACGACTGCTCTAGATCTAAACTTGGTCAGGACAACAAACTGGCTGCATGCCGTCGCAGGGAACAGTGCGATCCCAGGCAAAAATCTCGTCGGCAATGGAAGTCTTACGCTCCTCTTCAGTGACGTAGAACAACTGTATCGGGTCGAGCTCGGCCGTACAAATCACTTTGGTGTGGCATTCGTAGAGAGCATCGATGAGGGTGATGAAACGACGAACTTGATCACGCTCTTGCATGGTAAGCCGTGGGATATTCGATATGAATACTGTGTGGAAGGCGTTGCCTACTGCCAAATAATCTGCTGCCCCCAAAGCCTGGTTGCATAGGTCGGAAAATGTAAACCAAGCAACATCTGAATTCTCAGCACAGCGTGGGACATTGACCTTGCGGCCCTGCGTCTCTACCAGTGCATCTGTACGGAAATGGCCATGACAAACTTTCTCGAACTTGGCCTCCAAAAGCTTCTGCTCATGCGGACCATTGGGGGTGATGTATACTCGATGGTCCTCCTCCTGCGTGGAGATCATGCGGTAGTCCACCTCTTCGCCAATGTCATGCACTTTGCAAAACTCTTCGAGCATGGGAATGAAAGGCAAGAACAAAGGCCGGTTCAGGCCGTTGAGGTACAAGTCTTGCGGAGGACGGTTGGAGGTGGCAACAACCACCGCCCCGAGCTCGAAAAGTACAGAGAAGATGCGCTTCATGATAATGGCATCGCTGATGTGTGTGACCTGGAATTCGTCGAAGCACAGGAGCCAGCCGTCCTTCATCATGTCGGTCGCAACCTGCTCAACCAAGTCATCGGCAGTGTTTTGAGAGTTCATGCTGCTCCCCTTCTGCTTCTTGTGAAGCCGCGAATGGACATCAATCATCCACTCGTGGAAGTGAATGCGCTGTTTCTCCTTGATGTTGATCTTGTCATAGAACATGTTCATCATGAACGTCTTGCCGGTGCCGGTGCCCCCCCATAAGTAGAGCCCTCTTTGTCCTGGGGCGGGCTTGAGCGCTACCTCGGCCTTGGGTGTCGCTTTGGCCGCTTTCGCCTTGCCTCCAAAGAGGCCTCCCAAGAATCCGCCTCAGCTAAACAAGCTCAGATAGCCACTGAGCTACGTGCTGAGCTACTATAACCTTCAAACGAACAAGGCTCTGAACAAGATCCAGGCAGCCACCGGCCGGGGTGGCAGCGGGGCTCGGGGACTTTGCCTCGGCCGGGCACCGCTCAGGGATCGAACTTTGTGGCTGTGCTTTCGGCTCAAGAACCTTGTATAAAAAACCTCGCAGGTGCAATCCCGGCTGCGGCCTTGGTCATCTTCGGATTGTAGCTCATCAGGTCTTTAGCTAGATCGTCGAGCATATTCATGCAAACCTCTTGGTGTGGGTCTTCTTGAAGCTCACCAGCTGCCCTCAGCTGGAGATAATGTTCCAAGCACCCCCCCGGCATGGGCGAACCCCACCGCCTTTGTCCAGGCATGACAACCGGGCGGGCAACACACTTTAGTGGCCTGCCCGGGAGAACGTGGTGGAACCCGGTGACTCCATGGAATGCCCTGGACGCGGCAGGGAGCCTGCCTACCACCAAAAGAGCACGCATTGGCGCCCGGGCCCGCAGCATCCTGTGCTGTCCTGGCTGCTTGGGCCCGCAAACGCTCATCGAGGCATGCTTCAAAACCACTGCATAGTGCTTCAGCACTGACCACCGCCATATGTCGAGTTCCTGTACCAAGACACCAAGCTTCCGGCAAAGGGCCACGTCAAGTACTCCAGGCTTTGAGACCAGTACATGCTTGCACGGACCTCTCAAGGCGAGATCTCGAAAGCTCAGTCTCATCCTGGGCATGTACCGAGGGCACGGCATACTCGCCGGACCACTGATCCTCAGGCCAAGATCTTCCAAGCTTGTGGTGCTTTCTGAAAATGCGTGAAGCGTCTAAGTTCGGTCGCACTGGTTTTCCCACCGTTCCAGCTAACCCAGCAAGTTGAGCCGCAGAGTAAACCCACCAGCACTACAAGCTCGTAGTACCTACGGAACAGTCATGTAAGTTCGAAAGGTGGAGTGCAGGCGGCTTTCGGGAGAGCAAGCTGGTGCCGACAAAGTGGCGTGCAGCGTGCGCAGCTCAGGTGGGCTCAGGTTGCACTTTAGGCCTTCCATCGCAACAACTTCGCATGAACCTGATTTGAATCATGGGCCCAACATTGAGTATTCAGAAACCTGCCGTCGAAGACGAGCTCCCAAAGCCTTGCAAACAGAAACCTCGAGTGCCCGGTCCTGTGGAGGGAATGGCCGGTAGGGATGGCGCTGAGACCAGAACCTCAGACTCGGGCCAGGCCTCCGGGGCCTCCGGGGCCTCCCTTGGGCCTTGGAGGCTCCAATCCAGGCCAGTGCGGCCAGGCGGCTCCTTTTGTTGCATCCAATTCTCCTCTGGCACAGACCTCCTGGGCATCGGACTCTTGCCGATGGCAGAACGGGTCAGAGCGGAGGACATCGCGGAGCCCTTGCCCTTGCACTCATCAAACCGAAGAGCCTCCGAAAAGCGGAACCTACATGGAATGACTCCAAACCGTGAACTCAACGCCGCGGGACAAGTTGTTCCAGAGGTTGATATGCCAGTACCGTGAGTGGGCCAGCAAATCCTGAACGATGACGAGACGGCTTTGGGCTTTGGACCGTGACCAGACCAACAAAACTCAGGCATGGATTAGCAATGAAATGATGTCAAGTTTAGGCTGGCCATATTTTTTTGCACTACTGAAACTGCTGCACTACCCCTGGTGAGTTCTCCGAAGGCCCGCCTGGACACGCCAAACGTCCTTCTGGAACACGCTGATGTGCAACACTCGTGCTACGAGCAGACAACATTGAAGAATGGAAACAATAGGATGTCTATCACTTATTCACTACAAGCTGCTCTTGAGATTAACTCTGTCGAATAGCTTCTGGACTCGATGAGGCCGTGCAGTGCAAAGCTACACTCTCAAGATCAATAGAATCAATTGGCCTTGTCGGGCCGACAAGACTTATGCGGAAAGGTTGTTGTCCAAGGTGTCGGTGCGAAGTCTTGATGCCCTCGGCGCTCGGACAGAAACTCCATATCACGGCGAAGCAAATCGAAAGAAGACAATGAGGACACCCGACGTGGTCAAGTTGATGAGCGAAAAGGCAAGTGGTATCAGGTCATGGTGCATCTAATTTCGTGTTGCTGCGACACCACAAGGAATCAAGATCTGCTCTGCCTCTCTGTGTGGCACGAAAAGCGGCATGTCCTGGCGCAGCTCTTGCCGTTAGTTAGGTGTTGTGCTTGAGAAACACGCGAAAAGACGGCTGGTTCTCGCAATGATGGTCCGCCTCAAAAGAACCTCTCGGTTCAGTTCGGGGTTACTCTGAGGTGAAATGCAACGACGGGTCAGAACCTGTTGCAGCAGGCCAACCTGTCGCTAGCATGCGGTAATCTACCACAATCGGTCGAAGTGACTTCACATCAACTTTCGTAATGCTTTAAATTAGAATGCTTGTAAACGCGGACACTTGCAATCCGTAACTGTCAAAAGTGGCTTCAACTTCAGTCCCGCGTTCACCCTTTTGCCGTCTGCATCTTCTTTCCCCAGAATCTCCCTTTGTCAACGCACATCCAGTCGTGTGCAAGATCCCACTGCTGTATTCCAGCATGTCTCGTTGTCGGTTCTAGTGATTGGTGCTGCAGGCTTCGACTGACCTGCCTGACGACAAAAAAACTCTCACCAGCGATATTCTCAGTTGCTTCCGCTACTCGTTCTTCAGGCGGCTTTCAGAGAATGGCTTCCAGTGTTCCCAGCAGGATCGGGCATTTTGCAATGGGCTCGCATCCTGGGCTAGGCTTGCACTTCGAGACCTGGTGGCGTCTCTAGCTCCAGCTTCAGCCCGTCTCAAGGCGTTCGGGGACGGAGCCGCAGGGCTTTAGCCACCTATTTGCGAGTGGGACGAAGGCGAACTGGTCAGGAGGTTAACACTGACAAACAAATCATCCTCAATGCTCCGCCAACATTACATGCTCGTTCCACTTCGCTGGGGCCCCAGCCATGCTGTAAAACTCACGCCACTGCATCAACACCCAACCTCGGCAACTTGTTTGAACCCGATGTCTTCCGGGTGTCAAGTGTTGAAGAACACCTGCCCACATTGGTCGCCTTGACATACCGACATGTCACGGAACCAGCGCAATACCGGGAGGCACACACCAGGCAGAAGGTCATGGTAAGCCCACTGACTGCGATTGAGTAACTATGCGGACCAGGAAGGTAAGCAATGGCCTGGTAGGCCGCATAATCTTCGAAACCTGTCAGCTTTTCGCACGCAGCGGCCAAAGCCATGGATAAGCCAAACTTCTGCCGCGATGCTAGCAGCACTGGCAAAAACGGGGGAACGTCAATTCGGGACAGCCAAGGCTTCACACCATGCAACTGCAACATCATGCAGATTCTGGAGAGAATATGAGAGATTGCAGCCGTGAAAACCCGCACCCAAAGCTAGGTTCTCAGGCTGAGGAAAGAGTTCTGGATGGCGAACTTCGGCGCGAAACCTTGGATGGCTAGAAATATGTGGGATGTCGGAGGCTTGGCCTTAGGTCTTAGGTTCTTGGACTTTTTGCAAGACTTGGCGGCAGTTCAATCTTCTGAGCTTCAGAAATCGGACCACCGCACTTCCGATTCTAGCGCAGGATTTCGAGCCATTTGGAGCTCCGGATATGAACGCAACAAATATGCTTGTTGCAAGTGATTTGACCCCTAGTAGCCGACAACGGACTGCCAACACACTGCACCCACCGAGATGCTTGTGCTTTGCCTGCCGAGAGTCTCTCGCCCGCAAGGGACACGAGCAGGTGAAACATCCACTCCTGACGAGGTCAGCGATAACCGGTGCCATGCAGCGCTAAACTCTAAAACAGCTTGCACGGCCCTACGCCCCTCCCATTGGGAAAGAAGACATCTGAACAACACGCCCAGAGACCACCTGTAACCACCGGCAAGGCACTGATTGTGACGAGACAGACGCAGATCTGGACTTTGGCACGAGGATTTGATCCTCGGCGACTGGATGAGTTTGCATCCTAGTCGGTGTCTGCACAACTTAGGCAAGTCTGTGCATTTCTTTGTGGACGACTGCTAGTGTCCAACCGAGCCCCAGTTCCTCTTGGGCTGTGGCCAGTTTGGGTGCGTACTTGAAGCGAGTCAAGTAGACAGCCTAGGATCTAGCCGGTCTTGCATGTTGGCAGATGCACAGAGTAGCGTGCGGCAACCGACACGGAACCATGCCGACATCCTAAGGTCGGCTTTGGACGAATCGGTTCGGGAGAGTATCGATATCTCTCACGACTCTTCTAGTGCCACTGATAACGACAAGCCCTCCACCTCACCGCATCAGAAGCAAGTGGGTCGAGTTTCAAGTGAAGCTAGGCAGGCAGCGTTCTAGCTGGGCATCTCGTGCTGGGCAGTATGCACCATCCTCTCGAGCTTGCTTGCTTTTGGATGCAGATCCTCAAAGGAAACTAGTCCTGCCGAGGAATCACACTCGGCAGTTCCCGCGTTCAACGGCAAAATCAGCTCCACAGCTGGAGCAATTGAAGACTGCAGAGTGAGCCACTGCATTCACTCAAGGATTCTCTGGCAATGTCGCACATGAGCTTTATCCTCAGTAAGCAACAACCACGTAGCCAAAGAAATGCAAAAACATGACGACATGACAACAGGTCACTGGGTGACATGCAAAGACGAAAAGTGTGCCTCCAAGCTTTTCTGTGTTGAGATTTGCAGTCTGCTCTGCAGAAAGAGACAGACGTTGCAAGACTCTCCAAAGAACAATCACCTCGGCAGATCGTTTGCGAGACAGTGCTTCGTGTCCCGAGACAGGAGACTGGCATCTCAACTTGTGCACGACAACGACTTGGAATAGAACCGGTAAGCAAGCCAAGCGGAGATAAATCAATCTCCTGCGGAGGAAGCTTTGAGGGGGACACACTTTGCGGACCCATTGAAGGTGGACTTGCTGCGCGCGTCAGGCTGCAGAGGCCCCTGCGCAAGATCGTTCTGGAGAACGAAGCTGCGGGTAGCTGAGTCCGCCAAGTCTGCGAAACAACACACGAACTGCCCTCAAACCCATGGCAGGTTGCCTCGGTGTCGGAACCTTATCAAGCTACTTTCAGACGGCCCTCTGAAGTTGCCAGCGAAGCACAAGAGGCCGATAGATGGGGTGCAGCTGGCCCGAGTGAGCGTGCAGGACTTCGGCTGTGTACGGGGCATCGACCCTGAGTGGGCACTGGCACTCAGATTCAAGATGATGCCACAACTTGCAACATGGAACGACGATTTGCCGCAGGATGCACATCCCACCGTCACGAATGCAAAATCCCATGACCACACACCCCCCAAACATGCTACACTATGAGCCCGGGGCACAGCAGCATGGCATCCTCTTCGCGTCTGCCCACATACCTGAGTCCGGATGCTACAGCTGGGCGGCCAGAGCAGCAGATAGCATTATGCAACTAAAACTGAACCATATGAATTTCTATGCGGCAAGGGTGCGGCAAGGGAGATCCAAGACCCGAGATTGCCGCGGCTCTTGAAAAGAATCTCCCAATTATGGAACCGTGATGTGAAACTGCATTGTGCGCAAGGCCAATGATGCAAAAACATTGGGATTGATTCCACAATTCCGGATTCTGGATTTCTGCAACTGTTGAAATGCAAAAATCAGGAATTCCAGCCCTTCCCGGCTGGAATGTCTGGCTTTCGATGTAGGGCAATGCTCAGGCGTGGGTTTGGGACGGGAACGGGGGGTAGCTTATGTTTATAGAGATATATATATATATAGAGA